AAGATTCCCTCAGATCTTCTTGATATCCGATTTCTTGTAGTTGCAAACCTTTTGGTCGCCGTCTTTCTCAGTAACATATTCCACGTCAAAGAAAAAGTGAAAAAACAAGGAACCTCGGATAATTGATTTTTGACGAAATGTCGCCGAATTATCGAGTCACAAAAGAAAACTTTCCCAGAGAATTTCGAGAAAAATGTTTTTTCGAAGAGGAAAATAATTTTTCAAGCTCGATAATTCCGTGGCACTTCGCAAAAAATCAATGATCCGAGATTCCTTGTTTTTTCAATTTTCTGAAAGAATTGTTTTGACGTGTATTCCGTCTTGACCTTTGGAAGGGTCTCATCGTTTACGCCGTGGGTGTCTTGGCAGATTGAGGTTACAGATCCGGATATTTGTACATTCTTAAACACCGCGGTGTCCCCATAATTACCATTCACTGCGGCCAAGGTGAGAGCAGGCCCAGTAACCTTAACGGTGTCAATGATGACATGACGGTCGTACTTGCCATTGATATTGCAGTTGCCGCAAGAACGGTAGAGCTTTCCCATGTCTTCTCCCTGAAAAGGTTGATTTTCTCTTTGAAACACATACCAAGAAGTTCTTGATGGTCACGGTGCCTCCTCCATTGTGCTGGAAGACTTTGTCATGCGCTTTCTTCGCACCTCCTCCAGTCACACTGTACACAGCATCCTTCTCTCCCAAGAAGGTAGCAGCGTCCTCTCCGACATCCTCCCACCAGACATTCTCGATCTTACAGCTGCCGTTGCAGTGAATTCCATCGGCCGCTGGATATGAAATGACTAGATTTTGGATGGTCGCACCGTCACCCAGCAGGATAATTGGTGGCTGTCCTTCTTCAATGCCACCATCGGCGAAGCCGGAGACGTAGCGCTCCATTTTGCCATCGAAGACAGCGCCGGCTTTGACTTCGATCGTCTTCGGCACCTTTTGCGTGGACTTCGGATTGGGCCATGTGCCGAATTGGGCCGAAACGTGGGCCGCGAGGAAGAGTACACCGAGGGAAATAGACTTCATATTGAAGTGTGCGGATGAGAAGGACGTACGCCGGCTTATATACATAGTAGCGCAAGGTGATCGGCTACAAGCGACGCTTTTATTTGGCCAGCTTTGTCGTTAAAGTTCATTGTGGTTTCCCCTGAAGTATAACAAAAATTACCATTTTGCAGTGCCTGTTCAACTCCACAGCCGTTCTTTAAAGGTTGATAGACAAACACAACGTGTTCCAGACAAAAAACGTCTGCAAACAACCGCAAAAAACAAAAAAATGTGGGCTGGGAGATATTAGTCCACTAGCTTGAGTTCTTCATTCACGATGAAGGTATCAAGCGATGCTGGTGGAGTTCTTAAGCTCTAAAACTCTGATTGAAAATCGAAGACAATTCCGAAAACGCGCATACATGTTATAACGTTTATTAAGACAGAGTTTTCTTTAAAGGACCCCACCAACTACATTTGAATCGAGTTTTTACGGCTTGGAGGTGCGCCTCGCCAAAAGTTGCGAAAATCCCGCGAAAAAAATAAATACAAAAAATAATCGAGAATTTTTCTCGAAAATGCAAAATTAAAGAAAGTTTGAGCTAGTTCATGTTCCAAAGTTGCTGAAAACGCTTCTTGTTCACGTGGATCCTGCCGACACTCATTCGGATGCTCTTGGGGAAAGTCTCATGTAAGTTTTTCTTGGTTTTTGCTTGGTTTTTCACGTTTAGGTAGTAGTGAAGGATCATGTACAATATCTATGTGGTTCTTCCAAAAAACAGCGCATGAGCAGCCTTGAGGAGCAAGTGTTGGACCCAAGGCTCGTGTTGTGTCCATGTTCTTGCTTGTTCGGGCTGTTTTTGCCCATTTAGAGGTGTTTTATATGTTGTTTTAGTCAAGTCTTTCAATTTCAGAGTTGTTCAATCGCCTGGAACGACCCATGAAGATGAAGAAACCGGCGTGTCCACACGGACCTGTCGTTTACATAAAGCATCCTGGTCAAAATAAAAGAATGTAACTTATATACCTTTTATTATCTAATACATCAATAAAAACATAATAATCATGCAGTTTTTGTTCAATTTGCTGGTCTACGAACCGCTTTCGTTTCCATAGTTGATCCATTGATTCACGAAGACAAGTGCCTATCTAAAACTAAATGCATAGAGGCCGAGAAATTACGTAACGAAATTTTAAGCAAAAAAGTAAATAACACATTACCTCACATGAATATCCCATAGACAACGTCCCTGTCTCGAATCGTGATGCAAAGGAATTTGTATGAAGAGAATTCTTCTTCATGCATCGCGTTCTCGGCGATTGAACAACTCTGAAATTGAAAGACTTGACTAAAATAATATAAAATATCTCTAAATGGGCAAATACAGCCCTAACAAGACAAGAAAATGGAATACACACAAGCCTTGAGTCCAAAACTTGCTCCTCAACACTTCGTTCGGGCTGTTTTTCAAAAGAATCGCCGAAATATTGTGCAAGATACTTCACTCCTACCTAAACGCGAAAAAACCAAGCAAAAACCAAAGAAAACTTACATCAGCCTTCCCCAAGAGCATCCGAATGAGTGTCGGCAGGATCCACGTAAACAAGAAGCGTTTTCAGCAACTTTGGAACATGAACTAGCTCAAACTTTCTTCAATTTTGTATTTTCGAGAAAAATTCTCGATTATTTTTTGTATTTATTTTTTTCGCGGGATTTTCGCAACTTTTGGCGAGGCGCACCTCCAAGCCGTAAAAACTCGATTCAAATGTAGTTGGTGAGGTCCTTTAACAATGAATCAGAAAATGCATGATGTTTAAGAAAGCCAGTAATCTGTAGGAAGATGGCTGATTAAATTACATTTATTAGTTTACAGATGGTAAAAGACAATTCTCCCTAACAACCCTCGGTTGGGCCGGCTTAGGAACTTGAGGTTCCCATTTACTGTTGGTTCCAAGAAATTTGACATAAAGTTTCTTGGCGTTCAAACGAGATGTTCCTAAAACTCTTTTTGCGGTGGAAAGAAGAGGATGCGGTTTTTCGACTGATTTTTTTTCACCAAGACGAAAAGCAGTGTATTCGGCGGATACTTTAGTTTATATGTTATCAAATCTTAACCGCTTGTGTGTGATTTCTGATGGTTAAGAAATGCCTTTGTTTATCAAGAATTCGGCGAAGGAATGACAAGCAGAGGCCGCCTCATAAACGTAGAATATTTATGGATTCTATGTTATTCCAAATTTTCTTCAAATTTCGATGAGGGTTTTAGAGTTATATCCCATGCACTCCACCAGCATCGTCTGGTTTCTTCATCGTGAATGAAGAACTCAAGCTTGTAGACTAGTATCTCCCAGCTCACATTGTTTTGTTTTTTCTATAGTTGTTTGCCGACGGTTTTTGTCTGGAACCCATTGTATTTGTCTATCAACCTCTAAAGAACGGCTTTGGGGTTGAACAGGCACTGTCAAATGGCAATTTTTGTTACACGGAAAATTTTAATGAACTTTAACGACAAAGCTGGCCAAATATAAGTTCCGCCAGTTGCCAATAACATTACGCGACTATTTAAGGCGACCTACGCCCTTCCCATCCACACACTTCAATATGAAGTCTATTTCCCTCGGTGTACTCTTCCTCGCTGCATACGTTTCGGCCCAGTTCGGCACATGGCCCAATCCGAAGTCCACGCAAAAGGTGCCCAAGACGATCGAAGTCAAAGCCGGCGCTGTCTTCGATGGCAAAATGGAGCGCTACGTCTCCGGCTTTGCCGATGGTGGCATTGAAGAAGGACAGCCACCAATCTTCCTGCTGGGTGACGGTGCGACCATCCAAAATCTAGTCATTTCATATCCAGCGGCCGATGGAATCCACTGCAACGGCAGCTGTAAGATTGAGAATGTCTGGTGGGAGGATGTCGGAGAGGACGCTGCTACCTTCTTGGGAGAGAAGGATGCTGTGTACAGTGTGACTGGAGGAGGTGCGAAGAAAGCGCATGACAAAGTCTTCCAGCACAATGGAGGAGGCACCGTGACCATCAAGAACTTCTTGGTATGTGTTTCAAATAGAACATCAACCTTTTCAGGGAGAAGACATGGGAAAACTCTACCGTTCTTGCGGCAACTGCAATATCAATGGCAAGTACGACCGTCATGTCATCATTGACACCGTTAAGGTTACTGGGCCTGCTCTCACCTTGGCCGCAGTGAATGGTAATTATGGGGACACCGCGGTGTTTAAGAATGTACAAATATCCGGATCTGTAACCTCAGTCTGCCAAGACACCCACGGCGTAAACGATGAGACCCTTCCAAAGGTCAAGACAGAATATGTTACTGAGAAAGACGGCGACCAAAAGGTTTGCAACTACAAGAAATCGGATATCAAGAAGATCTGACGGAATCGTTCAAAAAGAAACAAATCATTGTTGAACTTTAAGAGCTGAGTAAAATACGGCTAGTGCATCAAACTCTGACAAGGGAAGTCGTTCAGATCGCAAATGAACTATGACATGAGACCTGTGTGGTTTTATAGTCACATACTCTACTATATCGAATATAAAGGCATTTTTGCGTCTGGGCCCCCGCGGCCGAGAAAATCGACCATAAAGTTTCGCAAGAAGAGAGCGCCGAAAAAGTCCTCTCTCCGAAAGCAAACCCAAACAGCTGCCCAGTTGGCCGAGTGGAAAGAGCGCTCGTCTAACGAATCTTCTTTTGTGTCGGGGGGGCTGGGTTCGATTCCTTTCACATGCAATGTAAAGGGTAAGACTACTGTGTACACTACAGTATGCGTAAAAAAAATTTTTTTGTGTTTTTCCAATTTTATGTAGATTTGTGCCTTTTCTTGAGACAAAAACAAACAAATTTAGTCGACTTTTCTCCAGACTGTTAAAAATGGCATGACTTGGAATGGTAATCGGGGAGCTTCCTGCGGCTACGCCGCAAGGCTATCGGAAAGTTGTCGAAAGGAAGTAAAGTGATTTTTTATCACTCTTTGATTTTGTTTGGACATGGGATTGGCGCCTAAAAATGTTGTGGCTCTCCTCTTGGCCGAGTTCGGAACCGGGAACTCCGAAGACGCGACTTACGAGGAGACTCGGATGGCAACCCGACTGAAGATTCTGCTGTCTCAAGCGGCGGAAGACGCGAATATTGAGGTTCAAACGGACGATGAGATTATGGACAACAATAGCAGTGGGGACGAGAATGACGATGACAGCGACTTTGAATTGGACGTTGAAGGCCATCAAGAACGTGATGAAAGAGGAACTGGAGAGATATGGATGGGACGAAAATTCGTGTCGCTAGATCAAATACGAGCAGTCAAACGATATTGGCTATCGTCGAATCGATCGGTTGGCGCTGTCAGGAAACGGTGCAGGTTCATTCGAAGCGACTACTACTGGAGAAAGATGACGGACCTGTGGAAGAAAGGTAAGGCTACAGTTTGTTGATGATTTTTTTTGTAGATGAAGTTGTCGCAGATCGGCGTGTTCGCATAAAGAAGCTGGCTTCTGATCTTTTTGAGTGGGCGAAGGAGAGATTGTCGACTGGGACTTCCGATCCGATTACCATTCCAAGTCATGCCATTTTTAAAGTACGTGTCTCACCAAGCCAGAGAATGCGTTTTCCTCCAACAGCTAAGTTTTTCGCGGCGGGACGCGCGCCCAATGGGCGTGCCACTAAAAATAAAAATATTTTTTCGAAGAAAATTGATGTTCCATTGTAAAATGATGTTTGAGTGGACTTTTTACAGAGGTAAGTAAGATTTTCCACCTATTGGAGCTTGAAAATGGTATAATAGTTCTTAGTTGTCCTGTTTTCCCTTAGTTTACGCAATATTACGTGATTTTTCGGACAGATAAAGATTGGTTATGGAGAATTTTAGTTTTTTTGTTGTAATTGCAGGAGTATGCGCAAAATCGTCCATCCCGAGACCGGAGTCACCTCCAAGTTCATGAATACCTTCACCGTCGATGTTTTTTGAACCGATCGGTATGTTGTTTTAGACCATTATTGCATTGTTTATTTAGATTTTTGGGCAAATGTTTGGATTCATCACTGCTAAAGTCTCTCGCAAGAAGATAGGACATGAAGAATGTTTCCGCAGACACCAAGCCATCACCAAGTACACCTCTTCCATGGAAAATGGATTGGCTTCCAGGCTCCCGCTTCACATTACTGATCCCAAACGGCCCTCTTTAGGGCCACATTTCTTTGATCTTGATGCTTTGTGAACGTAAATAAAGAATTCGTCTTTTAGTGGATTATCGAAGTTAATCTTGGGAAATACGATTCGAAAACATGAAAGAACTCGTCGAGAATCCTTTATCATACGCTGCAAACCACCTAAAATATGATCAATTCGAATAAACATATTTATTTTTACCTAAAACATCAAAAACAGGGTAAAAAATAACCAGTGTAATATGTGGCCCTAAAGAGGGCCGTATGGGATCAGTAATGTGAAGCGGGAGCCAGGAGGCCAATCCATTTTCCATGGAAGAGGTGTACTTGGTGATGGCTTGGTGTCTGCGGAAACATTCTTCATGTCCTATCTTCTTGCGAGAGACTTTAGCAGTGATGAATCCAAACATTTGCCCAAAAATCTAAATAAACAATGCAATAATGGTCTAAAACAACATACCGATCGTTCAAAAAACATCGATGGTGAAGGTATTCATGAACTTGGAGGTGACTCCGGTCTCGGGATGGACGATTTTGCGCATACTCCTGCAATTACAACAAAAAAACTAAAATTCTCCATAACCAATCTTTATCTGTCCGAAAAATCACGTAATATTGCGTAAACTAAGGGAAAACAGGACAACTAAGAACTATTATACCATTTTCAAGCTCCAATAGGTGGAAAATCTTACTTACCTCTGTAAAAAGTCCACTCAAACATCATTTTACAATGGAACATCAATTTTCTTCGAAAAAATATTTTTATTTTTAGTGGCACGCCCATTGGGCGCGCGTCCCGCCGCGAAAAACTTAGCTGTTGGAGGAAAAAGCATTCTCTGGCTTGGTGAGACACGTACTTTAACAGTCTGGAGAAAAGTCGACTAAATTTGTTTGTTTTTGTCTCAAGAAAAGGCACAAATCTACATAAAATTGGAAAAACACAAAAAAAATTTTTTTTACGCATACTGTAGTGTACACAGTAGTCTTACCCTTTACATTGCAGGTGAAAGGAATCGAACCCAGCCCCCCGACCCAAAAGAAGATTCGTTAGACGAGCGCTCTTTCCACTCGGCCAACTGGGCAGCTGTTTGGGTTTGCTTTCGGAGAGAGGACTTTTTCGGCGCTCTCTTCTTGCGAAACTTTATAGTCGATTTTCTCGGCCGCGGGGGCCCAGACGCAAAAATGCCTTTATATTCGATATAGTAGAGTATGTGACTATAAAACCACACAGGTCTCATGTCATAGTTCATTTGCGATCTGAACGACTTCCCTTGTGAGGGATATTATTTTTCGTTGTACAGGGTGGTTCAGCCGAAGCTTCCATCCTTATTTCAAGTATTTCTCCACGGATAATGCACCAATTTTTATAAAATTTATATCAAATTGAAGCTCAGGTACCCCATTTTTTGTCCACGAAGTATGACAGTTCCAAGTTCACGGAGGCTCCCGTAGTGACCTTTCAGATTTTCATTCCAAATTTTAGAGCCCGAAATCGGTGAAACTTGGAAAATTTTTGCAATGATTTTCAATTGAGTTTCTCGGACTTAGAAAATGTTTGGATTTCCGGTAAAGACAAAGTCGCCAAATTCGATGAAATTTTTTTAAACAAGTAAGGTTCACAGAAGTACCAAGTGCCTAAAAAGCATATTTCAATCTGGCGAGGTACTAAATCGAACGAATGAAAAGGAAAGCTCTTTTCACGGGCAATCTGGGCCTCAAAACTTGTTATTTATCTTCGGGGTACATGTCGTCATGCATGTAGACAGTCTCACCCATTTGTTCGCATTTTAAAAAATTTTTATTAACAAAGCCTGTTACCCCAGAACACAAGATCAATGCCTTGAAAATTAATTACGAGTATTCCGTTCACTGCCGTCAATTTTTTCAGCTTCTTCTAGATAGCTTATTTAGCCAAAGACTCGAATATTTTCCGTACGAGAACTCAATTGAAAATCATTGCAAAAATTTTCCAAGTTTCACCGATTTCGGGCTCTAAAATTTGGAATGAAAATCTGAAAGGTCACTACGGGAGCCTCCGTGAACTTGGGACTGTCATACTTCGTGGACAAAAAATGGGGTACCTGAGCTTCAATTTGATATAAATTTTATAAAAATTGGTGCATTATTCGTGGAGAAATACTTGAAATAAGGATGGAAGCTTCGGCTGAACCACCCTGTACAGAGGGTCGGTTTGAGACAGAGTCGAGCCTCAAGCCTTCCATTCCTAAATCCTTTGCCGTCCAACCCTGGTAGAAGCATGAGTCAAAGGGACAGAAACTGTTTATAATCTACAAGCTTTGCCATCGGTCGCTGTTGATTATACTTACGGGCATATTGCGGGACAGGATTTCATATTCGAAGAACTCCAAGATGACGTAAAATATGCGGTATTTGGCGCGAGTTTACAACGTTTCTTCAAAGAAGGAACCAGATTTTTGATTACCACCGATGGAGTCGGCTCATACATTTGGTAAGAGGTCTTTGAGTGTAGTAAGCAGTTTACAGTTCAACTGAGGAATTCGAGCGCCTCTTTGACTGAGGATTAAAAGTCCTTTGCCAACAAGAACACAAAGATCGATGTAATCCAGAAAGCCCAGACTACTGTGTGGATAGTATGAGTTACGAAGAAAACAGGGTCGACCAGCTGGGGGTAACACTCACGCACAGCGTTTCTAGCTTTTGGAAACAAGTACTAGTCGGCGCAAAAAGTCTTTGGAATTTTTCGCGGCCCCCAAATCTCGTCGCACCCCGAAATGTCGATTTGTCGCTGAGAAAAATGGGAATCGCGCGCGACAATAAGGCAAAATCAACAAGATTGCACAGTGCAAAAGCACTTTTCGGCTCGGATGCACTGTGCAAAAGCACTTTTCGGGTTCATGCACAGTGCGGAGTCGCAGAAAATTCCAAAGACTTTTTGCGGCCAGCTTCATTTTTAGCTATCCTATTCCTCTTTCAAAGCCTACTCGTTGCAAAAACACACATCTTCACACTCTCAACGCCCTGTCCGACAATCAACCCTTCTTCAATCATGCAAAAGAACGAATTTCCTGAAGTCAACATGGAGTTGGTGCAACATAAGTAATGTCAATCTGCTCAAACTGGCCAGGGTTTCACAGCCAAAAACACGCTTCAAATTTTCGGTGGGAGAGAAAAACCTCACTGCAGGTTAGGGTCAATTCTCTCCCTCAATATTTTGTCTCTCGAAAAAATTATTTTTATTCTTGTTCGGTGTTATAACAACATGTTGCGAGACTATTTTATCTACGAAGGTGAGCTGCAAAGTGATCAAGTAAGTTAGCATTAGTGAGAGGAGGTGTTGTTTTTCATTTGACACTAAAAAAGTTCATTTTATTTCAGGGAAGGATGCAGAATTTGTCCAATCGCAAAGCGAGTCTTTCATGGCCATGGATAATGTAAGTGCGCTTATCTTGTAACGGAGTTGACAACACAAATTGGGGATAACCTAGAGGAGACCTTATTGTTTCGTTCTGAATAAAAATAGAACCAAACGGGTGCAAAGGTTACCCGTTACAAGCGTTTTCGGAACTTTTCTCTAATTCGTCGGCCTTTGCTAATGCCTACGATTCCTTGGCTAATGATGCCCATGTCAGTAAAAATACAATACCCGTTGTTTTAAAACGAATTATAAACGCAATAGAATCTGTCACGACTTCGCGTGAGAATTTGCATATTCCCACGGAATGACCGACAAATTGGTATAAAAGGAAGAGAAATCGCCAATTAAGATCAGAATTAATTTGTGGTTTGTCTTTATTTCCCGGTTGGTTGTGTCCAATAAAATCTATTTCTATTTGTCTATTGTTTGTCTACGGTCACATCGTCTGGAGTCAACAGCGTGAGTTCACATTTGTCTTGTTAGATTGCGTCTCCGAGTTAGGTAGGAGCAACTAGTGTAGCGGGCGAGTCAAGCGGGCCCTCAATCACGAATCATACTCAAGTTGTGACATGGCGACCACCACGCGTAATCTCTCTTCTTCACCCCAGCTCGCCTCTCGACTAGTTGATCTGTCCGTAGCTGATAGCCGGAGCGTCTCTCCCCCAATTTCTCCTGTTGTTCGTAATTCCACTCAAATTAGACGGAATATTACGACCAGGCTCAATCAGTTGATTCGAGATTTCCCCTCTCTTGTTTCTATCCTTCAATCGATTAGTGCACTCGAGACCCCCCGTGATGACTTCGTCGATCCCAATATTTCGGAATATTCAGATTTTCCTAGAGATTTGGAGTATTTCCAAGATCGCATTGATATAATTGATCAGCAATTGATCAAGTGGGACGAAATTATTGAAGAATTGTCATTGGTTGATATTGAGGCTTCTGTACTCGAGGAGGGCGTCAAAAACAAATATTTCGAGGATCATCAATTGGACACTCACTTGGGAAAGTTTCGTCATCTTTGTCGATCTGGTTTATTGCATTCTAGGAGACTCCAGTTAGTAATTCCTGGGCAGAGAAGTAGTAGTCTCACCACTTGTATTTCCCCGACTTCTCGTCGTCAGTCCCCGGTCATGCAGCGTGCGTTCACTCCAGACCAGCACTTTTTTCACGACGAGCTCCCTGAACCACAATTTCCTCGTCAGAGTGCATTCCGACCAACTCGTGATCCCCAGGTACAGAATGGGCCATCGTTCCATCCATCTCAGGCTCCCGCTAGAAATCCGTTTTTGAATCGTCCATTTCCTGTTCGTCCATCCCCTCCAGAGAATTCGTGTAGTGTTCCGTATCAGAAACTTCCGAAATTCGATGAAATTCCCTTGTTTAGTGGTGATCTCACTGCCTTCAAGCCATTTTGGGATTATTTTGAGCCAAGAATTCATCTTGTTCCTGCCCCCGCCTATGAGAAAATGATTAGGCTTCAGCATGCTTTGAAAGGAGGTTCTGCTGCGTATATTGTGGAGAATCGTGCTCGCACTCTTGAAGATTATGAGTCAGTTATTACCATTTTGACCACTAGATATCTCGATCAATCGAAAATTGAAGATTTCCTCGAATTCGAATTGTTGGCCATTTCTCCTCCAATTCATGATGATTCTCGGTCGTTGCTCGAATTTGCTGATAAGATTGACACGTTCAAGTCCCGATTCAGGCATAATCGTAGTGAAATTCCTAGAAACGTAGTCAAGAAGTTGTTCTATAAGCTAGACACTGAGACTAGACGTCATGCTACTTTGAGAAGTTCAGTCAAAGGATATGACTTGAACAATGTAGATGAGTTTCTCAAGTTTTTATATGAGTTGGCTGCTGAAACAGAGAAATGGTTTTTCGCGCCAGGAAAGGAGAACGTGAAACCTCACACTCGTTCCAATCCCGTTGTCACTCCAAAGAATCACTTTCGTATTCATGGTAGCGTAGATACTCCTTCTGGTTGTCCTTTTTGTTCCGAAAATCACAAGGCCAGTGATTGTTCCAAGGTGAAATCGTATGATGCTCGAATGCAGTCATTGAAATTCCAAAGAAAATGTTATCGGTGTTTAAATCCAAATCATTTGTCCTCAGCTTGTGAGAAAGAGTTTTCTTGTGAAAAGTGTGGAAAGAATCACCATACTTTTATGTGCCCTCCTCGAAGAGATCCTCCCGTCATCAGTCCTAGTAATTCAGTCCCAGTCGGCGACTCAGAGTCGAATGCTTTGTGCTTTACTATTATGAGTAAAAGCGAGCCTCCCCCAGTGTTTTCAAGCCAAGTCGGCACCAAATTTTGTATGCTATCGGTTAATTGTCAGTGTTCTGAGTCCGTCCCTCCGAATCCAGTGAATTTGTTTGTGGATTGCGGTTCGGACATCAATTTTATGAAGAAATCCGCTGTGATCTCGGATATCCCCCTTGTATTTGATCGAAGTTTAATTGTGTCAAGTTTCCATGGATCTATTAGAGTCAAGTCTTGTCGTTTGAATGTTGTTTTTAGCCCAAATGAGAATCAGAGATTCAATTTTGTTCCCGTTGTTTCCCCTAACCCAGTTGGTTTTACTGTTCATGTTGTAGATGATACGTTGTTTGAGCGTTTGAAAGGTTCTCGGTTCTCTAGAGAGGTTGATGTTATTTTAGGAGTTGATGCCATGATGGCGCTCCAATTTTCGGTGACCGAGTATCGGAGTGATGCTGGTTATCAACTTGTCAAAACGAGTCTTGGTTATTTTGAGGCGGGATCCCGTTGTCCTTTTACCCAATTGCATCCCACCAATATTGTTCCTCCTCCGTTATGTCCTATTGTTTGTAAGGAGCCTATCGTTGGCATTTCTAACCCGTGTTCTCCTGTGGCCAAGGAACAGTTTAGTGCTCCGGATCTTGCTGTGATTCCGGATGCTGTCCCTGTGTCTCACGCCTTGATTAGTCGTCAAATTGACCCTCCACAACGCATGTTTTCCTCTCCCTGTCAAGATTTGAAGAGAAGAATCTTGGTCAATGGTCACATGATCGATTATGGACCCAAGTTACCATTCAAGTTCACTGGAGATGACCCGCCCACGATGAGAAAGCGCGATGGTACCAATGGCCAGAAGGAGACCAAAGATGTGGCGCGCCCCCCGGAGATCGCATCAGGCCAGCTGATGGAGAAGAGCAAGTGGCCCCCGGAGTGTCACGACTTCGCGTGAGAATTTGCATATTCCCACGGAATGACCGACAAATTGGTATAAAAGGAAGAGAAATCGCCAATTAAGATCAGAATTAATTTGTGGTTTGTCTTTATTTCCCGGTTGGTTGTGTCCAATAAAATCTATTTCTATTTGTCTATTGTTTGTCTACGGTCACATCGTCTGGAGTCAACAGCGTGAGTTCACATTTGTCTTGTTAGATTGCGTCTCCGAGTTAGGTAGGAGCAACTAGTGTAGCGGGCGAGTCAAGCGGGCCCTCAATCACGAATCATACTCAAGTTGTGACAAATCCTTCCAAATTTGATGCGCACGCGGTTTACTCAACTTTTAATAAATTAAGCTAACAAGAACTTGTTTCCTCTTCAAAGATTCTCTCAAATCTTCTTGATGTCCGTCTTCTTGTAGTTGCAGACCTTTCCATCGCCGTCTTGTCCGAAAACATATTGATGATTGACCTTTGGAAGGGTCTCATCGTTTACTCCTTGGGTGTCTTGGCAGATTGAGGTTACAGATCCGGAGACTTGAACGTTCTTCAGCACCGCGGTGTCACCATAATTTCCGTTAATAGCGGCCAAAGTAAGAGCTGGTCCGGTAACTTTAACGGTGTCAATGATCACATGACGGTCGTACTTTCCATTGTTGTAGCAGTTGCCGCAAGAACGGTAGAGTTTTCCCATGTCTTCTCCCTGAAAAGGTTGAATTTCTTTTTGAAAACACTTACCAAGAAGTTCTTGATGGTCAAGGTGCCTCCTCCATTGTGCTGGAAGACTTTGTCATGAGCTTTCTTCGCACCGCCTCCAGTTACGCTGTACACAGCACCCTTTTCTCCCAAGAAGGTCGCGGCGTCCTCTCCGACATCTTCCCACCAGACATTCACGATCTTACAGCTGCTATTGCAGTGGATTCCGTCGGCCGCTGGAGCCCCAATGACTAGATTTTGGATGGTGGCGCCCTCGCCCAGTAGGAAAATTGGCGGCTGTCCTTCTTCAATGCCTCCATCGGCGAAGCCGGAGACGTAACGCTCCATTTTGCCATCGAAGACAGAGCCGGCTTTCACTTCGATCGTCTTGGGCGCCTTTTGCGTTGTCTTCGGACTGGGCCAAGTGCCGAATTGGGCCGAAACGTGGGCCGCGAGGAAGAGAACAGTGAGGGAAATAGTCTTCATATTGAAATGTGTAGATGAGAAGAGCGTAGGTCGGCTTAAATAAAGGCATAACGTTATCCGTTCGTTCCGACTTCTCTATTTGGCCAGCTTTGTAATATTAGAGTTCATTCGGTTTTTCTTGAAACGTATCGCAAAAGCGTTTTTTCACAGTGCACTGCAGTGTCTAACCCGCAACTATTTTTTTTTTGAACAATGTTTCACAAACACAGACGTCGACAAACACCTGTGGAAAACGCCAAAATTTGTCGGTTGGGTGATGCTTGATCCTAATTTTTTTAAGCAGGGGTTTACGATTTGTGCGTTTTAGGCTTTGGCCACGTAGACCCAATTTCAAGTATTACAAAGTAATAATCACAAGACATGGCTTCGAGTTTATTGTATAACATGTATAGCTAGATTGGAGGGAAGGGATTCGAGGCAGACGGCTGAAGAGGCGTGAAACACATCATTCTACGCACAGAGCTCAAAAGGAGGTACCTTCTGGTCTACTCTGCTTACAAGAAGGAACAGGCATAATGCCCCTTGTCACATCATCTTTTTCCTCAAGGTCCGCGTTCTCGGTTGCCCTCTTCGAAAGATGTTGGTGCCTTATTCATCCAGTTTCCCTGATGGCGCAGGTGTACTCTTCGTTAGGTGGCTTCTTTGCACCAAATCTTCTGAAGGTTAAACCGAATGCCAAGAATTTTACATTGCCTGACAATGAGCGCTTTTCTTGGAGTATGGAAAGTTGTGTGATCGCTTCGAAATACGAACTTTTCGGAACGCACCTACTTTTGTGTATTGCCTCGACCTTCAAATGACAAAATAAAAAACGAGGTGAATAGCCGATCATTGAAGACGAAAGGTAATAAACTTTAACGTCACAGCTGGCCAAATAGAGGTTAGGCACTGTGAAAAAATACTTTTTGATACGCTTCAAGGCAAACCATAATGAACCCTGATATGACAAGGCTGGCCAAATAGAGAAGTCGGAACGAACGGCTAACGTTATCCCACTATTTAAACCGACCTACGCTCTTCTCATCTACACATTTCAATATGAAGACTATTTCCCTCACTGTACTCTTCCTCGCAGCCCACGTTTCGGCCCAATTCGGCACTTGGCCCAGTCCGAAGACAACGCAAAAGGCGCCCAAGACGATCGAAGTGAAAGCCGGCTCTGTCTTCGATGGCAAAATGGAGCGCTACGTCTCCGGCTTCGCCGATGGGGGCATTGAAGAAGGACAGCCCCCAATTTTCCTACTGGGCGAGGGCGCCACCATCCAAAATCTAGTCATTGGGGCTCCAGCGGCCGACGGAATCCACTGCAATAGCAGCTGTAAGATCGTGAATGTCTGGTGGGAAGATGTAGGAGAAGACGCCGCGACCTTCTTGGGAGAAAAGGGTGCTGTGTACAGCGTTACTGGAGGCGGTGCGAAGAAAGCTCACGACAAAGTCTTCCAGCACAATGGAGGAGGCACCTTGACCATCAAGAACTTCTTGGTAAGTGTTTTCAAAAAGAAATTCAACCTTTTCAGGGAGAAGACATGGGAAAACTCTACCGTTCTTGCGGCAACTGCTATAACAATGGAAAGTACGACCGTCATGTCATCATTGACACCGTTAAAGTTACCGGACCAGCTCTTACTTTGGCCGCTATTAACGGAAATTATGGTGACACCGCGGTGCTGAAGAACGTTCAAGTCTCCGGATCTGTGACCTCAATCTGCCAGGACACCCAAGGAGTTAACGACGAGACCCTTCCAAAGGTCAATCATCAATATGTTTTCGGACAAGACGGCGATGGAAAGGTCTGCAACTACAAGAAGACGGACATCAAGAAGATTTGAGAGAATCTTTGAAGAGGAAACAAGTTATTGTTAGTTTAATTTATTAAAATTTCAGTAAACCGCATGCGCATAAAATTTGAAAGGATTCTATTGCATTTATTACGGTAACCTAGTATGTATTATATCGGTAGAAAGTATAATACATGTAGCCATTAATTTTGTTTTAAAATTACGGGCGTTGTTTTTGTTGACACGGGCATTATTAGCCAATGACCGTAGGCACGTTTGCACCCGTTTGTTTCTACATCCACTGCTGCTTTCTTGGAAATCTGCGTCAATCTTTTCAAATAATCGGCATCTTCCACATCTATGTCGTTTAAGCTGGCGGTAATCGTCACTCTGGGCGAAATTGATTGTACAGGAAACCTGCACGATTTTTCTAGCCAAAGCCTCCTTCCCATGCCGTTTATGTCTCTCATGTTTTCATCTGCATATTCCATTGATTGGAATACTGTTCGAAATACAAGTTCTGTTGTTTCTCCACTGACAACGGCTCAACCTTGCACGGGACAATCTGCCGTTCGCCGTATGACAGCTCCATCAAAACGATTACTTGTTGGGAGATCGCCTAAAAATTTAAGATTTTTTGTTGTTGTTGATCAGACATGTCTAATTTATTATGAAGTAGCAGAGCAACTAAATATGAAATTACAGAAATTCGACGGCCAAGTCGGGTAATGAGGACTGCCTAGGGCTTGTTGTTCGTCAAGCTGAATTTGAACTCTATACATCTCATAAGGAAAGAGTCCACAAATTTTCTGTAAATTTTGCAGACAGCTAGGGCCTAGTATTCATACATAGGCAATGTATGAAATCGTTTCTGTAAATTTGGTCCCTAAAAGCAGCTGGGATAGTCAGCGATCTTTGCCGACGAGAGAGTGCAAGAAGTCGGGGAGCAATTTTTCCTTACCGACGCATAAATAATGCCATGAATGGCCTTCATTGTAATTAGCCATTCAAAGGTGTTCCGCTGCATGTTCTTGCCCCAGGCATGAAGTAAAAATGTTAGAATGTTCGTAATTATCTGAATCACAGTAATTTTGGCAGTAATTGTGGCGGCTTTAAGGTTCTCAAAAGTTTCATAGCGAAGAGAAAGTGAGGCGTATGGACGGGCTCTTGTTTTAGACGGAGCTCTTGATCCAGTTGGCTTGTACTTGTTGTAGACTCGTTGGGAAATGTAGGGCAGAAGGAAGTAAACCTGCAAAATTTTTTTTTATCAAATTAGCCACGATTTCCCAAAATGGCCAAAGCTTTCAACTCTTCAAAAGCCCAATATAGCACTTACAGCTACGGTAAACGCTATTTCAACCAAACTTTGAACCACTTTTATGTATTTGATTACATAGGTTTGAAGGATACAGAAGCTGGCAATTCCATAAAGCCACTGAAAATGTCATAAATATTATAATTGTGAATACATTCCCAAATTCTATTAGTCTTGCCTTTTGATCCATAACAACGGAAATTTAATTGTAAACAACAGTACCTACCTGACAAACGATAATAACAACTGCAATGAATGGAAATCCCCGTCCAATTTCATCGTAGGAGCCAACCAGAACGGTGGCAATAATGCGTTCAACGACTTGAGCGATGAGATGCGCCAGAAAAACTAGGAGGGCTGAAAAGTCTGTTAGCGAAAGGAGTAAAGAGTTACCATTTTTTATCGTGCTCCCATTAATTTTCCTAGCAGCTTTAGGGAAGATATTTTTACAGATACCGTCAAAACCGAATATTATCAAAGGTGTTTTTTGGGGGAAATCAATTCTCAAAACTTGTCAAAAGGTTGCAACAAACTCCCATGCAACAGAATCTTCTTTGACATACTGTTTGAAAGGTCTCAAGAGCCTATTTATCCCGAAAACAAAGTCTTCATCATCAAAACCATTGTAAAGCAAATATGTATTGGCTTTGATTACTTGTGACTTCCTGTACATTGACTTGTGCAATTTGTTCACTAGCCCATTTGAAAGGTCGAGGGAGAAATTTTTGGCGTTTGCACAGTCCCATAAAAATACAGGGAGCAGCAGCGCGAAACAACTCATTGCTTTGCGAACCGACTAGTTAAGATGACATCGACAATGCAGTCTTCTCTCCTGACCCAATTTTGCTTTTTGGCAACAAACTCTAACTCAAATGTGGAGGTCTCTTCGAACTTCATGAGTATGTATATGTAAAATAACTCACTTGTGTCCAGAGGATACCACATCGGGACGTACTCAGGATAATCAAAGCCATTCGATATAAAAATTGTTGTGTGAACGACTTCAACGAGCATCGTTACCCAAGCCGGAAAAGATAAATGGTAAAGAAGCCAACGGAGATTTGAGTTCAAGGCCCTCTGAAAAGCTCATTGCTTGTCTTGAAACAATTATCCCCGCTTACCTTCTGAGCCATTTTCATACAATAAAACGCCATGAAAACGGTAAAGCCGGCAAAAACTACGTAAATGAGAGCCGATATTCCCAACAAAACCTTCAGCTCATTGCCAACGAAAATTGCCATAGAGAAGTAGAGTCGTAGCGGCTCTCAACGACAACCTTTAGCGAACTTTCAGACTGTTTAGACCAAAAAATTGAAACGAAATTAAACCGTAGCGCAAATCAAAAAGTACGGACGTACGTGTGGCCGCAAATTGAATCCAGCACAGCTGTAAATTAGTGATTACAAGTAAATAAAACAGAGCTTTTGAGAAGCGATAATATGTGGGTTTGAAGAGAAAGAATTTTGAGCATGAAATCATATGTAAAGGTTAAAAAGATGTGATAAAAATGCTGACCTAACAATTATCATGCACGAAAACGTATTTACCTGTCTGTCGGGAAAATAATGAGTACGCTGGCGCTGCACCGATCGAAGTGAAGAGCCATCTGATTTTGCCGCAACACAATTCATTTTCTCGTCGGCGATGCAATTTGCACGCTGATTGTGCTCATTATTTTCCCGACAAATTGATAAACCAGGCCGGAACGGTTCAAAATGGATGTCAAAAATAAGCCCAACCCGATTTTCGTGTGCTTACGATAAGAAAAAAAACTCGGTCCAAAATCGTTGCTAAAGACCTGTCATTTTACGAAACGTGTTCTTATTGATGTTGCCCTTAGTTTTCGCTTTTTTTGCGAAGTTGGGGTCAACTGTCGGCTTCGGTTTATTTTAAAGTAAGCTAACAAGGGGTAGGGTTCGGACGGGGTATATACCCGGGGTATATTCCCGGGTATATACCCGGGTAATTGGAAGGATGGAGAGGGTGGAAGGCGAATTAAAATTGGGAAGCCGCTACCTCCGTCGGTCTCTGGGAGCCGAGATACTCGACCAACAAGTTTGATCAAAAGGTCCCCTTCAGAGTTCTCCCTTCTTGTAAGACTTACAGGTAAAAACCAAACATTTGCCGGGGACTGGACTCGAATTTTTTTCCTTTGTGAATTTTGAAAAATAAGCCTTCCAAGCCGTCCGCCAAGCCTCAGAAAAGATGCCCAAGCAGCACGTGTGTAACTGAAACAATTGCTGTTGTAAAAAACTTTACACTGAATGTTACGGAAAAATTTGTATCTTCGAACACTTGACTTTCCTTATGCTTTGGCTCTTTTGCAAAATGATTTTGAGTTGTGAAACATGTACTATTTTTATGCTCTTATTGTTGAACAGCATGAGATAATTGTAATTTTCATTTTTTACCACAGATGTTGTAAAAAAACTACTTCGGTGTTCCACAAAGAATTTTTACAGCCAGATTAAACATTTTGTTATGAAAATTCATGCCTTCTACTGTCCTTTTTTCCACTTATATCTAGTTTTACAGCCCTGTCTTCCATAAATTTCCGACCTCAACAACATCCGTAGCTAAATTTCCATATTTTTCACAGTGAAAACAAAGTAACGGGATTAAAATTCGAATCTGGAATTAGTATTCCATTATAATTTTCCGAAAATTCTTTGTACTAGTTTGTACATCCGATTAATCAAGTAATTCACAAATGAGCGGATACTTTCGTGGACCGAAATAAGGTCATGTGAATGTTTACTAGACGGTTGTGAAACCGTCTCGAGGAAAAGATTTCCGATCCGGGAAATTTAAATCGCTTATTTTTATAATCGGCCGCAGAGAATAAGCTGTTTAGATGGGGGGAAAAGGGACACGTGATGCATTAGATTTTTGAACATTGTACATCATTTTGTCGGGAAATCAATGTGGATTGTCGATGCAAAAAAATTTGTCTCGAAGCAGTGGCGCTCTGAATGCGCAGCCGTAGCCATTGTGATGAGATAATGAACTATCCTAAAGTATGGCGAATCTACATTATTTTCCCGACAGACTGATAGTAAACAATGTTTTTGATGAAACTTTGCGCAACTTACCGAGAAAAATCTAAAAAGATGTGGCTGTGGGGCTCATCAAGGACTTCAAGGCAGCACAAAAACATTTTTTTGCTGAAATTTTACTATTTATAAGAGTCCAACAAGCAGTCTGGGAATATCAGTCTGCCGGGAAAATAATGTGGATAATTCATTTTTGCGACGGCTAACGCGATTGGACATTTGGTGCGCGGCGGCGACAAAGCGAGCAACTTTGCTATGACAAATCCACATTATTTTTTTTCAGACTGTGTGATTTTGTTTATATAAAACATGTTTTTAAAGGTTTGAAAAGTTATTATTACCACTGGAAGGTCACGTTCAAAGAAGGGCAGCATCTCCCCTGGATAATCAAAATTTTGTAGCTTACAGTTATTTATGCTTTATGTAGATCACCTTGAATTACTCTCAAGTTTTCAGTATGTCGCCCAAGTCCTTCTATTATTCATGAGAGATCGCAAGGTCGGCAATATTTATTGTACAACACGTGATTTACATTTTATATGTGCAGACATCCCGTGCACAGACCCGGAGGGTATCAAGTTCCTGCTCATAAGGCTGTCTAAACACTTGAAAAAGGTTAAGCAAACATTTAAACTTTTTTACGGACCAAATTTTTCTACTGTATCAAACTTTTACGTTTGATTTTCGTTTTTTTTTATTTCCGAATTTAACTTTTACTCCCGGGTCCAATTCCGCATTTATTTTTGCTTTGTTTTTCTCTCCTTTCTCACTAATAAATGTCAGATTCCATTAAAATTTACTCTCATTACTTTTTTCCATATGCCATGTCAGACCAATTCCTTTATTTATTTTTGGATTTTCATCAATTTAAACTACCGTAATTCGGTTTTTGTCTGACTTTTTGGACCCAAATTTGCTTCAATTTTTGTTGAACCATCATTATAAAATGTGGAATTTATATTCAAGGAAAGGTTTTGGAAGTAATTCGGGGTCATTTTGAGACACACGTATGCAATCTTTAGCATGTTGCATTTCTGATAATAATGCATGGATAATGAGCGAAACGTCGTAAAGATAGATATCTAAATTTAGAGAGCTGTGTTGGGAACAATTTTTGGAATTGAATTGGTTGAGGGGTACTGTAACGGAGGAAATGATTATTCAGTTGCAAGATAAGTACCTAAAGAGTTGCGCTTTGAATCTCTAACCAATTTAGATCACGGTTTTCACCGGGAGCAAAGATGTTTAGGGTAAATGAAGAGAGTAGTCTGAAAATTTTTTTTCGTGAATGATCTAAAAGTCCAATAAAATCTTCATGGCCAACTCTCTACAAATTTTGCGAAAAAATATGTTTTTTTTGTGGAGATTTTGAATTGGAAATGCAGAATGTAAATTTCAAGCTTTGAATTTTTGCCAACTCCCAATTTTAAATTTCTGTTGTGTCAGTCAAACGTCGTTGCGCCACCACTGAAGGAACAATCCGATTTTGTTGCGAGACTATTCATTTCCTCGGCGACGAGAAGATTTCCGGCGCGGCAGAGTGCTCATTATTTTCCAGACAAACTGATAACAAATGTTTTTTGATCCCTTGCGATTCGTTATGCATATTTTTGCTCTCTTTTACATACCAGTCCGCTGGAAAAATAGTGAGCACTCTGCTGCATCGAATATCGAATTGCCGCCGAGAAAATGAATTGTGTCCGGCAAAATCATTTTTTTTTCACTCCAGCGATACGAACGGAGCAGCGACATTGTCCTCATTGTTTTCCCGACAGACGGATAAAAAAATCGCATCTTTTTCTATGGCCAAATTTCACAAACATTTTGCACCCAAATTTGGCAAGCTTCTTGCCGATTTTAACTAGTTTTTCCGTGTTCAACTGTATTCAGACAATATATACTTTGTCCTCAAATTCGTATCTGTAGTCTCCCCTTCCTTGCCCAATTATGAAGCCAATTTTCAAGGCTCATTTTCCTCTAATCCCTGGTACACCCTCGCCGGTAAATACTCCTGTTCCACCCCCAATTTGTTTACAGTTCATGTTTGGGTTAATCTTGTGGGCCTATTTTCGGGTCGGTTCCTTTCCGTGTTCCTCCGCTCCAATTTTTAATTCGGTTTCCAAATTTGGCTATTGCTGGTTTCGAGCAGCGTTTTCTTCATGGGAACTCATCCAAAACGAGTCCGAAATAGGAAGTATGTCATCAAGGCGTCATAAAAACATTTTTTGAATAGAAATTGATGGTGTAAACATTCTGAAACAGAAGCTGCAAAAGTTTTGAAAAGAGAGAAATTGCGTAAATTCGCTATGCATTTTTTAAAACTCATCTTTATTCTAGTTTTATTACACACATTGGAATTTTTGATTGTTGTTCATGAAGTTCAAAATTTACTTTTGCTTTGAGGGCACTTGCGTCCAATAGATCTTTGGTTTCCTTCACGAAAAGTCGAAGGAAACTTTAACCAAATTAAAGGCTTAAAGACTAATGAAGATTGCGTTTTTTATTTATTCAAAGATCGGCCGCTATGTATACGAAAACAGCAGTTCTATGTTTTCAAAACAATTTACGTACTCTGAAGATGATTAAACTCTGTGAAAGCCCATTGTTCGTCTGAGTCTGAGACTTACCATATAGCGTACTTGTTCTCAAAAAATATTATTATTATACATAGGCGGCTTTCTGAAAAGTTTGCTTTGTCAGATTAGATGCTGTGAACACTCCATATAGCGAACTTTTGCACATCAGTTGCCTATTCCAAAGAACGTATGGAAATTGTTGCCTGACTGTGTACAATGCTTCTACAAGCACACCGGTTGAAATAACTCCGCAATAGGCATTCAAAAAAGTGGCGAGCCATATCAGCCTGTCGAGAAAATAATGTGGATTCGCCGCACAAAATGTCTCGCCTTGTCGCAGACATTATTGAAATCCAAAATCTCCAGCCACAATTCTTTATTGATG